TATTTAGACTCTTCAGTTCCTTCACTAGGGAAGCCTATATGACATGTTACTATTCCTATTATCTTTTAAATCACGAATAGAAAAATTCCATCACCTAAGTAGAAAAAACTACTTATTATACATTTTATTGGTATTAATCATGACAAAAGTGTTTAGCTTTTGCACATAGTTTTGAGGCTGTCTATTCCTGAGGTTTGCAATGAGTGTTTTAGAAAGAATTATCTGTACAGTAGATCATCTATCTGAAGGTCTAAACCTGTGGACGAAGACAAAGCTTCCCTCCCATATATGGCACTCTTTAATAACAATGTGATTGATGATGCAATCTGTCCACTTCACTAGCTTAAGGGCCCCTTGTAAAAAGAGACTATGCCTTACTCTTCTCTGCACTCTCAGTTACTCTCAAGCACAAAAGTGTACATTTAAATAAATGTTTACCGAATAAAACTAAATTAAAAAATGAAAAGTTTTTCTACCATTAGCATAAATAAATACGACAAGTTTTTAAAAAGGCCATAAACAGAATATATTTCATAATATTATGAGAAACTTTCCATATATAGATTCAAAGTATAATTGATACATTAAGCTTGTTTATATTTATTTTACTGAAGTTTAATATACAAATAAAATGGAGTTAAAAGTTATTGAAGTAAAATAAAATCAAACTGTACCACAGATTTCAATAAAACTATGAGAATAAAAACCTAGAATAATGCTATATTTCCCAACGAAATGATAACATTATTCCTAATCATAATATTTATAGATTTAAAATCATTTGATATTTTAAACCTCTACAACCATAAACTTAATCATTCAAATGTACCTTTGTCAATGCCTTGCAAAATACTCCAAATTAGTATTGCATCAATTATCAATGAGGAAAAGAATTACAGTTAAAATAGCACCCGTTAAGTAGTCAGTAACCATGTAACCACTCCCCACATACATGGTATACACAAATCTATACTGTGATTATAAATATTAATCCAACTGCCATTTAGAAACTAGATCTCAAAATTGAATTTCCTGATACTTGGGGATAATACAATCAAGTCCAAACTCATTGTTTGAGCTGTAGCATCTGGGCATGATAAGGTAAGACATTTATTCTTGTGTGTGAGGAAGATAGTGCTGAGCTAACATCGGATGCTGATCTTCCTCTTTTTGCTGAGGAAAATTGGCCCTGGACTAACATCCGTGCCCATCTTCCTCTGCTTTATATGGGACACCCCATGGCTTGACAAGCGGTGTGTCAGTCCGTGCCCGGGATCCGAACCTGCAAACCCCGGGCCGCCAAAGCGGAATGCGCGAACTTAACCGCTATGCCACCAGGCTGGCCCCAAGGTAAAACATTTTAAATATACTATTTATCTTTCCTAGCGAATTTATGAAGGAGATTTTAAAGTTTCTATAAGGCAAAATAGAGGAATAATCTTTGAATGCCTTCTTTGTCCTAGCTATGTTATACATGATACCATTTAACACGCATAATAATCTACATGGTGAATATTATCTCCATTTTATAACTAAAGAAACAGATGCTCAAGACATTAATTAAAGATTGAGCTCATCATAGGCAAGTATAGAGCCAATATGTGAACACAGTCCTGATTTACAAGAAAGCTTTAGGACGCTCCTGTACTACATCACACTAGCTTGTACTCTACTGTCAAAACTACAAAAGGTTCAGATTTTATAAGTATTGAAAGACATGACTAAAGTATACTTTAACAGTAACTGAAAAACACATCGAACCATTGAGATATATATAAAAAGAATAAGCAAAATGACAAAGGATTTAAATCACCCAACATAATCAATATAATGTAGAAGCAAATATTACATGCCTCATACTCCATTTAATACTCCTCTTTGGATCTTTTCCTTTATATATTATACATTTTAATCTTCTCAAGACTGCTTTTATCATCTCAGGATTAACAAAGAGAATTTCAGTGCCCGGCTTTGACTGCAGGCCTTCCTAACTGTTGGTAAAAAATCTCAGCAACGTAAGAAGGAAAAAAATGTCTACTCTTTCCCTATAGCTGCAAAAATGCCCAGAGTATTCTGCAAAGATGATTCTGATAAAGTAGCGAATTGTGAGCATTCTGAAAGAAATGTATCTTACTTTTCTGTTCAGTATTCTTGTAACGGTTTTTGTACAAAAAGAAATCTCATAAGACACCAATTTACACCCATCTAGACATTGTAGCCATGTTATGTGAACGTAAATCTTAAACCTCTAAACTCAAGAACATAGTCTAATTCTGATTGGTGGCCTTAATTTTTTATTTGTTGCTCTGGTAATATTGTTTTAGTTAAAATCTCCTTAAAGGTATTAACAACTGTAAGATTTCTTTGCAAAATCAAGAGGGTTAATGACATTCTTCCATCATAGAAGTATGACAAAACCATAACTCGAGGATTCTTTTCTCTAAAAGCATCAGAGTCTTTGCGGGTTTTTTTTGTTTGTTTTTTGTGAGGAAGATCAGCCCTGAGCTAACATCCGTGCTAATCCTCCTCTTTTTGCTGAGGAAGACCGGCTCTAAGCTAACATCTATTGCCAATCCTCCTCCCTTTTTTTCCCCCAAACCACAGTAGGTAGTTGTATGGCATAGTTGCACATCCTTCTAGTTGCTGTACGTGGGACATGGCCACAGCATGGCTGGAGAAGCGGTGCATCAGTGCACACCCGGGATCCAAACCCGGGCCGCCAGTAGCGGAGCGCGCGTGCTTAACCACTAAGCCATGGGGCCGGCCCCAAGGGTCTTTGTTTCCTTTAAATTATCAAAAGTAAAATAAATGCAATACATTCAAGTTTATTTATTCATTTATTTATTTATTTTTGTGAGGAAGATCAGCCCTGAGCTAACATCCGTCCTAATCCTCCTCTTTTTGCTGAGCAAGACCTGCTCTGAGCTAACATCTATTGCCAATCCTCCTCCTTTTTTTTCCCCAAAGCCCCAGTAGATAGTTGTATGTCATAGTGGCACATCCTTCTAGTTGCTGTATGTGGGATGCGGCCTCAGCATGGCCGGAGAAGTGGTGCGTCGGTGCGCGCCCGGGGTCCGAACCCGGGCCGCCAGTAGCGGAGCACGCGCACTTAACTGATAAGCCATGGGGCCAGCCCATTACATTCAAATTTAATTCTTCAAATGAAAATATCTCTTTGATAAAATAAAAATTGATTGAATAATTATTTTTAAGTTAAAAGCCTTTAGACAAACTACCAGTATTATTGGCAAAAGAAAAACTACATTATCTTCTTAATCTTTTAATTGTAAAGAAATGACTACAAATCTCTACTGTTTGGCTTTTAATATTTTTCTCCCTGCTTACAGAAGCAAGGGGCTATGGAAGGTGTTAAGCTACCCCTCAATGAGTGATACTCCACACAGGACAAACTCTCTTTAAAATATTAGAGAAAATATAAGAAACAATATATAAACATAATTCTTTTCATCAAGATACAAATTCCCAAAAAACATTAAATTTTTATGTTCCTTAATAAAACTTTTTTACTTAAAAAATCATCTTTTATATTTATTTAGTCTCAAAGTTATCTCCTTGCAAATTACATGTTAATTACAAAAGGAACAACAGTAACTATACAGAAGAAAAAAAACTTTAAACCAAATGATTAAAACTAATGTCACTAATAAAAGGCAACAGACTTCATAGACCTCTGGATTTGATATCCTAAGGACACATCACTTATGTTGTATTCTAGCCACAAATGGATAAGCTCATTCTAGTCACAAAGAAAAGCAAACAAACTCAAATTGAGGACATTCCAGAGCCTGTATTCTTCAGAAATATCAATTTCATGTGAGACAAACATTGAAAAACTATTCTAAGTAAAAACAGAATATTTTAGAATATATTCTAAATATAGAATAGAATAGAATAGAAAATTCTAAGTTAAAATAGACTGAAGAAACTGACAACCAAATGCAAAACATGATCCTAGATTGGATCCTGTACCAGGAAAACAAAAGTTGCAACAAAGGACATTATTTGGATAATTGATGAAAGTGAAATATGAGTTATAGATTAGATGAAAATATTCTATCAATTTAAATTTCTTAAATTGATAGCTGAACTATGGTTATGTAAGAGAATGTCTTTGTTTTTAGGAAAGACACACTGAAGTATTAAGGGGTAAAGAGATGAATGCAGCCTCTCAGGTAGTTCAGAAAATAACGTGTATATATACACAAGGAAAGAGAGAGAGTTACGACAAATGTGGCAAAATGTTGCAAATTGGTGAATCTAGGAAAGGGCATATGGGAATTATTTTGTACTATCCTTGCAAGTTTTCTGAAAGTTTGAAATTATTTCAAAATAAAAAATTTAAAAATCATCGTTTAAGATTAAGTAAATATTAGCATGAGAAGATTTTCACCATAAACAATTAATTGATAAAATCAAATTTGACAAAATGGTATGATTAGTACAAGTGCTTTGAATAGTGACAAATTAAGGAGCTTGTACCAGAATGTAGATCAATACACAACTTTCTTCATCAAAAAAAGTCTTGCTATGCAAAAGCCAGCTCTACTAAACTGTGCTTAATAATATTCTGGCACAACCTGGTAACAAATGATTTATGCACTGGCACTACACTTTGAGAAGTTCTGGTCTTATATATCATCTGTTTGAAATCAATCAATTAATCAATTAGTCAATCAATAACTAACTAAATACTTTGAAAATTATGCATATGCATTTGGAAAAATATACAAGTTATAGCAGTTAACTCTGAGTAGCACAACTGAAGGTGATTTTTATTTTCTTCCTATATTTTGTAATGTTTCTACAGTGAACATGGATTACTTTTATAATAAGAAAAACAACAGTAAGCTTTTTAAAAAGAATAAGTGGAAAAGAACTTAATAGCAGGCAGATTTCTTGGTGTTTGAATCCTATGTCAAAACATGACATTTTCTTATGTTTACATATTGCCAAAATTTTTCCAAAAGGATCTCACTTACAGCTGATCTTGAAGTTCCACAATTATATATTCTAATTGTTCCTTTTCCAATTTATGGGCCAGATCAGAATCTTCAATCCTTTGCAGTAGTATTTTATTCTGGGAGACAGATTCAGACAGCTGGTTCTCTCGAAGTCGTAAGAGTTCTTCAAGATAACCCTGGAAATATAGATCACTAAGATACAGAAACTGTAAAATTCTAATATATATCTTGAAGATAAATGCAAAGTAGCTTAAATGTTATTCTTATCTATACTGTAATGAAACAATTTCAAAGTATCACTGATGAAATAGTAAAAAAAAATTGCTTTAATTGCATACAAAAATTTAACACGTTCTCCATGATTTAAAGCTCTTCTCTCAAGTTCAATAAAATATATTTGTAATTTAAGGTAAAACTTAGTCAAAACATTATAATTTCTACACTCTACAACAGTGATAAATACTCTACATGCCTCCTAGCTTCAAAATACAGACCTAATTACAGAATGACCAATTAAAAATCTGCTTCTATGTGATTATTTTTCAAAGACAGATATTAACATTTTAGCATCAACAAATTAGAGGGAAGCAGTATAATGTTTTGGTTAAGCCTGCAGGTACAGGGATCGCCTAGTGTCACATTCCACTTCTACTATAATCAGCTATGTGTCCTTGGGCAAGTTACTTAATCTCTCTGTGCCATAGTTTAAAAAAGTGGAAACAATAAGTGCACCTAGTTGGTAAGATGAAATGAATCAATATAAGTAAATTGCTTGGAATGGTACCTGGTACACTGTATGCAATGTATAATTCCTAGCTATTATTATTAGCAAACACCTAACAGATATGAGACTTCTTGGACTGATCCTCTGTCTCATCTTTTTTACTCATTTACTGTTTCTTCGTCCTTTTGCTCTGTTTTCTGGGAGACTTCAATGAATTTATCCTCCAAATCCTTACACTTAAATTTTTGAATTCAGGAAATCTTATTTTTAATTTCTAATAGCTCTTCCACGTTTTCTGATTGTTCTCTTCTCATGACACCCTATTCTTTTTAGTTGCAATGTGCTTTTAAATTCCTCTCAGGAATTTAAAATTAGAATTTTTTAAATTCTAATTTTAATTAGAAATAAAATTTAGAATTTTTTTCTTAAAGTATTCTTCTGTTCCATTATGTTATCCTATTCATGTGTCACTAACAAACTGTTTTAGCTATTTTAGCTTTATGATACATATTAATAGTAGCTACTACTACTGTAAGCACAGGCCCTCCAGGACCAGTTCAACTGACCTCATCTCTTATCAACGGAGTGATTAAGAATTGCCTTTCAGAAAATCTGCAAAGTCACTTAGCCAGGGCATGTGCAAAAGAAATCATGACCTGAAACAACCACAGAACCAAAGATCCTCCTTCCCATGGAACCCAAGGACTGGGACACGACCGGAACTTGAGAGTCAGACTCTTATCAGAAGTGAGGGGTCCCTCATTCAGGAAGGCCTGGTGTTAAAATTCCTTCCCTACCTCATCGAAAATATTTAGAACCCCATCATAAAAGTTTAGAACTTCATCATAAATGTTTAGTACCCTGTCATAAATGTTTAAAACCTTACCATAAATGCCTGAAGCCCACCAATCAAAACCTGTCCCACCAGCATTTCCACGTGCCAGCCTATTCTCCCTAACCTCTTAAATTTTGCTCCAAATCCTGAATTGGGGAGACAGATCTGAGGGCACATGCCCCCTGTTCTCCCTGCAGATCAATCTCACAGAATAAAGCTGATCTCTTTTCCCAAAGACTGATGCTGTAATTAATTGGCTTGTTTATGCACATTGAGCAGAGAATCCCAATTTTGTGCAGTAACAACTGGTGACCAAGAAGGGACAAGGTCCTGTGACCACACGCCCAAGGCTCAGAAACTGCCGGCAGGGTGTGGAGTCTTTTCATCAACCCTAAGCGGCCGCCTAGACAGTTTTGTCTAGAGGCTCCGACTGGATTCCCATTTCCTGCTGTGGCTTTCCAGGCCCCAGGGTGTTCTTTTCCTTTGGGAGAAGAAACAGCTTCTGGATCAAGATGTCTCTGGGCTCTGGGTGAGTAACTTTAAGACAGTGACTATCCTTTACCTCGTCTCTCTAGTTTGATTTCCTGGAAATATAAGTTTGGCTTGTATTCTGGGGAATCCTGGCAGGCTGAGACCCAAACCTTGGGCCTGAACAACCCGAGGTAAATAGAGGCAGGATAAAAGGTTCATTCGTGAAGTTGCTTCTGGATCTGGGCAAGTCCTGGCACTGGTTCCAATGTGCCCCTGGCAATCTGGTTTCAGGTAGCTCCTGGCACTGGTTCTGAACTACTCCTGGAAAACTAGCTAGTATTCTGGTCTGTTATATGTAGAACTGTATTGTGTGTTAATGTTTGTCTGAATTGAATTGGCTGTTTGGGGACTGAGGTTCTTGGTGATCATGAAACTCTCTTTAGAAATTACCTTGTTTGTTGCAGCCACCTTGGGAAAATCCCCCTAAAATGGGGATAACTATTAACAGCTGGCAAGATAATGGGGGATCATTTAAAATTACAGTGGCCACTTTGGGCTCCTTTTGAGCTTTTGAACTGAGAAAACAAAGAAATCTTTAATGAGTCAAGGGCTTCACCTTTCAACTGAAAAGTTCCAGAAGCTGTAAATGTTTACAAAGAACTGCAGAATCTTACCAAGCTTGTTTTCTGTCCTGAGGGCTTGGCTTGATAATCATCAGGTTGGGGGGATCCCAAAACTACAGTGGGACAAGAAATGCAGGTTGTATTCCCCTTTGTGGCTAAGGGTCTTACCAAACTGCCATCAGACTCAGGGAAATTACACTGGCCATTAGAAGGAAGCCTTGGCTTAGCCTTCATTGTAAGGATCTTGTTTTCAGGGATGCCCGAAATTTTCACGATCTAGTTCTAGTTGCAGCATAAATATAATTTTTACTGGCCATGTCTAAATTCTGAAACAATGGGAAACAGTAATTCAATCCCCACCTGTAGCCCCTGAGGCTGCATTTTCCCAAATTGGGCGATATTTAGCTACAAGTATATAGTATGAGCTACTGAGTACTCATTGATTTATCGATCCTTCTCCTCCTAGAGATGGTCACTATTTTTCCTTGTCTCTGTTTTTTTGTGTCTCATTTGTCACAAAAAGGAAAATATTCGTAGGGCAAGACACAGGCATCTCCATAAGCCTGTTGTCTGGGGGGTCCCACAGTAAACTTTGCTGTAGGGCCCTCATACAGAGTATGCACATAAGATGGAAGCTGTTGCTAAAGAGCATCTTGGAAGCCAAAAAAGGCTGCAAAATTGGTGGGCATGGGTAGAGCAGTTAAGAGCCATTAGGGCACTCACCACCTCAAGAAGACTCCTTCTTGATAGGATAAGTTGGTTATGGAATGGGGTAGATGACAACAGGTCTCCCACCAACCTCAAGAAAATGTCCATGCAATGAGGTACTCTGTAAAGCACACTCAATCCCCAAACCCATGGCACCTCCCTCCTAGGTATTAATCTATCTCCAAGAGACCCAAGGCTTAGCTAAAGCTGTTAATGTACATGTAAGATTTTCTTTTGTATTGTTCTGTCTTGAGATCTTGGCTTTGTGAACTTTCTGGTCTCCGCCATCTGGAGGATGCACACACCAGCATGCATCTTGGCGGCCAGTCAAGTAGACTGGGGTTCTGAGATGTACTCTCTTTGTCTAGCTGTATCAGCTCTCAGAGGAGTTTGCCATGAGGGGTCCCAATTGCTTTCACTAGGGGCCTTTGTCATCTCAACCGTCCTTGCTGGTTAGTGTTCTACTGCCTGTGCAGCATAAGCCTTTGCTCTCTTGGACTGTTTTTGGGAGTGAACTTTCTGGATCTCATGAGGGCTGCTTCTTTTGTACTCTCTTTTGGGGATTCCTCTTGCATCCATAGTTAAGCCATAAACACTTACTAGTATGAATCACTATTAAGATCCTATTCACCAATGGTCAGAGGATGGATTCTTAAATTGGAAAAACTTCTAAATTGAAAAAATGTAGCTGAAAGGGTGGGTCAACTTCTTTCCAGTTCTTTGGGGAACTGGAAACAACCATCTTTGTCTTGCAAATCCTTGGAAGAGTGGAAATGCAGCTCTAGAGGCAGTTCAGATTCCACTCATTTCCCTTATCTCAAAGAGCTTGCAAACTCTCCAGGAAATATCTAGCCCATCGCTAATTCCTAGGATTGAAGAAAAGAAAAGACAAAGGAAAGAAAAACGGCCATAAGAGCACCCTCACCAAAAATCTAGCATCTTGAGTGTCTCCTCCACAAATATTAGCAAAAAGGCTTAAAACAAAATTTGGATTCATAACTAGGGAGCCCTGTATTCATGGCAGTAATTTTAAAACAATAGTTGTGGATGTTGGCACCACTCACATAAACAATAATCTTTACTATACATATTAAAGGTTTTGTTCTCATTATCTTTAAATTAAATCAGAGTATAGGGCATTGCTCCAGTCTCTGATGCATATCCAGTCTCTCGAAAACAGAAACATTGGTCACAAGGGAGGAAAAACCAAAGATGATAAGAAACTAAGACCAGATGTCTGCCCCACCCAGAGACTAGCCCCTATATAACTGGCCTGTAGTCTTTCTTCTGTCAGATGGGCTTTAAGGACACTAGTCCACCAACTTCCATCTTTGCTGGCAAGAATGAATAAGTCTTTCTATTCCACCAACTTGCCTCCTGGCTTTTTGGCTAAGTCTTATAGCAAGCAGAATGAGCCCGTTGCACAGTAACATGGAGTCTCTGCGTATGTGTCTATATATATGTGTATGTGTGTGTGTGTGTGTGTGTGTGTGTGTGTGTGATATCTTACCTACAGATGGTATAATTTCTAAAAAGCTCTATTCAATTGGCTTAAAGTAAGCACTTATATAAATTATTTCTAAACGTAACAGCAACTAACCCAAATGTCTTTCAAGTTAACATGATATAAATTAATCTTTGGTAAATGAAAGCTTATTTAAGATTGTTGGTTTGATTAAAATGGACATGTCCTCAGAGTTATCAGCATTGGATATGATGCAGACATGCAGCCTTTACTCTACGTTTATTGGTCAAATAAGCTGATGTTATCTCTGTTACAAAACTGGTTAGCAAAAATAATACCTTGATAGCTAA